TATTGTTTCGTTCAAATATGATATACTCCCTCCGTCCCAATTTAAATGTCGTTTTGGCTTGTTTTGCACATATTAAGAAAATCAATAAATGTGCATAGATTATAGTGAAAAAACAGATAAATTACTGAAATATCCTCAACATTAATTGATTCTCAACTAATTAATTAGGAGTGATTAAGGTTAAAATTGAAAATAATGCAATTAATGTTTCATTGAAAATTTAAAATGACAAATAATTTGGGACAAAAAAAACACTCTAAAAAGACATATAATATGGGACAGAGGGAGTATTGGGTTTTATTGTTTATCGTGAGAATGTGAAAGGTTACATGTTATAACCTTTGTTTACTTAGGCTCAACTAACTTCCATAATGACAAATTGGGAACAAAATTAAAGAGATAAATTAATAGAGCCAAAATCACTATTAAGGACATAAATGTAAATAAATAAAAGAATAAAAAAAAATATTAAATTCTGGTTGGCCAGATTCTGGCCATTTAGCAAGGTCCTATTAATTAAGGTAATTTTCTCTAATTATTTTTAGGATGGAGATTTTGTTTAACTACATTTCCTAGATGTTGGAGATCTTGTTAATTTTCCTTTTTTTTTTTTTTTTTAATAATCTTGATAAGTGCAAACTATTATATTATGTAATATTTAAGATAACAACTATTGATGAAAACAATGTAAACCGTGATCGTTTCTTAAATCACGCCATATTTGCATATATATACGCCAAAAGTCTTTCATAAATTATTGAAGTTGGAAGGTGGAACCATGTATTTATGTATTATGTACATAAATAAATACTGCAATTCATCTCATGTAAAAGAACTAACACAGTGTTCCAAAGGTTCTTCAAACAAACGGATCACTCAAACAAGGCGAAGTAACAAATTGGTAATAAGAATCTCATGAAGAAATAACGATGAAGTGGTATAAGAAAATGGCAAGTATCACAGCCATAAGTCCACTAGTTATGGAACTTGATCGGGCATCACCACTTGGCGGTGGTGGTGATGGTCGTGGTTGTTGTTGTGGGGGTGCACGTGTACGAGTTGGGGGTATAATGTTGGACGAGCTGTAATCACAGTTAGATTCTTTCCAGCCTAAAACCATCTCCTCGCGATGAAAGACTAGCCGGTACCCCACCATATAATATTCTGTCAAGAAGATATATATCAATCTATTAATATAGAAGAAAAAAAAAACAGCATTTATGTCGAAATAACTCAAAATTGAATTACTCTGAAGGAAGGAGATGGATCATGAAATGTAATTTAAAGAGACAATTGGAGAAAAGCAAAAAAACTTATTGATATACGGTTCCAATACTCACGTCCGATTATGTTAATACCCTCGGTTTTGATAATAGCCAAACAATAGACAGGTCCATCATCCTGCATATGAATAGAAAATCTTAGCACTTTTTTTCTCATAAATTTATCCACAGACAAATTTCTCACCTCCTCAAAGGTAATTGTTGGTAGAATAACATTAAATTGGTTTCCACCTTTCATTGTGAAGGTCAAGTTTGGGGTTATAGGGCTATCTTGATTTGCACTGCATGGAATAATATATAAACCATAAGGCAAAAATGACGATTCAAGAAAATATACCAGCTCTCAGAAAAGGATGTTAAAAAATTAAACGGACCTGAGTGCATAGCAATAGTCTAAAGTAACGTTGTAGGGATAGACATAACGTTTATCGGTTATGCGAGAATTGAACTGCAAAAGAAGAAAGTAGAATCAGAGCTCAAACTTTCACAGGCTGTAAAATAACATTATATATAACTTACATTGTTTCTAATAAACGAGTAAGCTGGATCACTCAAGTATGAATATGGAACGCCAGAGTTGAGAGTTGCGGAGAACTCAAGATTGGTGGCATTATTACCGACAGTGATTTTTGTCACACTGATATCATAAGTTGGGCTGCCAAAAAGTTGGGAAGATAAACGAAGATGAAAAAAATTAAACTGAAGAAAAAGCAAAAGAATGAGTACTCTTGCTTACTTTGATTTTTGAAGATTAAAGGGAGTTGTTTTTTGTTCGGCAGTCCCTTTATCTCCAAATTCGATTCTTCCAGTTCCATCAGTGACAAAACACAAAGAGAAAGAATTTGCTACAAGGTTTTTGCTAGCTAAAATGCTAGGGATAGATATACTGTCCATACCAAGTCCAAACACACCATTAAGACCACGACGGGTCAAGTAATTTCCGGTTTGATTTTTTCCACATCTGAACCACAAGATAGATTCATTAACTTTTATTATATTCATCAAGACCAACAATGTGAAAAGAACAAAGTTCTCGTTCTGTGGATTCCTCTCGTTTTTCCAATATGCAAGAGAAGAAACAAATAAGTGAATAAATACTAATGACTTATTACAATCTTATATTAAAGACCAACATATGTTTTTTTCCAGAAAAGAAAGTACCCACCCGAATGTAACTGAGACATCGACAGGGTCTTGTGGATTGGTGTCTGTACCCAAATGCAAAATATCATCAACCAATATCCCTGTACTACTTGTGGCGTTGACG